AGCAGCCAACATCACTTGGGAAACCACACAAGATTTCAGGCACACAGAGCTCCTTCCACCTCTAAGCTTGCACACACCATTGGTCGAAGCAGCCCAGCAGCTGACCGTAACTTGTTAGCCACTGTAACTCAGTCAGGTTTGATGAAATGCCCATTCTCTGAATCTCTTAGGAGCCACAACTTGCAAAGTTTGTGGATTGTTCTAGCTCAAGACCCAACTGCTTCTCCTTTCAGTTCTCAAATTCCCTGGTTCAGTCCCAGGTGCATTGGCCAAGATGATGTCCATCATGTCCTTTAAAACAACAACCAGATAAACAAAGGAGATGCTCTTCTTCACACCCCCTTCCAATAAAGTGCCTTCAGCAGCTAAACCCAAATCCCAAATATCGGAGACTTATAATGACATCGTGAGAGTTAGCAAGGCAGAAGCTCCCCTGGTGATTATAACAACACCGGTGCTTGAGAAGAGCCTTAGCTTCAAGGCATCTGGAATTGCTCTTGCAAGACCCATTGTCAAATGAGCTTTTCCCTTTGTTTAAAAATGTCAGCCTGAAGACCCCTGCCAGAGTGGTGGTATAGCCTGCTTGGGTTCACTCTGGCTCCCACAAGGCTTCCACAGTTCTCTTTGCCCCTCCTTGTCTCCAGGCTTAATTAGGAAATCATTTATCTTTATTGGCACCCTCTTTCCCCTGCTGCTTTGGCATTATTTTTTTTTTTTGCCTTCATTCCAGAGCAGTGAGCTGTACAGGGAAGACCACAGCCCCATTCATTGTGGGTGGGGGATAATCTACAGCAGGGAGCTCTACAGGGAAGACCCCAGCAGTGAATCTGCCCCAGCTCGCATCGCCCTGGGGGGCTACTGTACAGAGACAGGAGAGGAGGGCATCCCTTGGTTCCACTTACAGGCTAACAATAGGGATTCCTGGTGATACTGAAAGTAGGACACTACTCCCAAGGGATGTCCTATGGTCAGCCTGTCCCAGACTGAACTGTCAACCCTCTCCAATCTCACGATATGCCTCCTTCATCACCCCAGCAATCTCCCTTGGTAGAAGAGCACACAAAGAGGCGAAGCTGGCAGGGCAGCCACATCCAGGAGACTCCTGGGCTCCTGGACCCCCCTGACCCCAGCTGAAGACCTCTGTGTCTCGGAACTGAGCCCTGAGCGCAGCCTGATGTGGGGTCTGTTCTCTGCACCTCCGCGAACAGAAACTCCCTTGGCTTTCTCCACAATTGGTGTATGACCATTTTCCAGGACAGTTGGAGTGTCAAAACCCAACTTTAATGTCTCGGGAGCCAGTGGCCTCAATCGGCTCTCAGAGGCACTCGGCAGAAAATGCCATGGCTTTGGCAGCTCCGAGGGAGAGCCGCTCAATGTCCTGTACTTCCACTACCATGTGCAACTCTTCCTGGGTCATTTCTCTAGGTTCCACATCAACTGTGTTTTATTTGAATTGAGCCAGAGATAAAATTCCAGCCAATCATTTCTTCCACCATAAAGAGCAGTTTCCTTTTCGTGCAAGCCAGGCTTGCCCCAGCCTGTTCCTAATTACAGATGGAACATGCAGTTCAGAAAGGAGGAATCAGAATTGTTCCCCTCCCTCCAGCAAATACCCATTGAAAAAAAGAGAATCCTTTGCCTGATGGCATCAGAGGTTTTGCCGGTAAGTTTAAAAGACAAGAGGGGAGATGATTGATGGAAAAGCTAAAGATCTGACAGGCCGTTAACTGCTCCCCTCCTCCTTACAACATAGGCTTCCCTGGTTTTCAAAGAGATCTCCTGCTCTAGGAAGGCCAGTGGGATCAGATAAAAACTCCATCACAAAAAGAAGGGCCTCAGTCACACTTTCCGGTTAGAGATCTCAAGGCTCTTTAAACACACAGGGAGGAAAGCCAGGCAGAGAGCGGTGGAGGAATGAGTCACGGGGGGCAACCATCTTCCTGTCTCCCATCCTAATCCCCTGCACATCGTCTAAGGACCACGGATTGCAGACAAAGAGCCTGATGCTGAGCTGTGCCCAGCTCTGCTGGGGACCCACAGGGCCGAGGGAAACGTGAGGGACACCACCTCCATGTCCTGGCAGGGCTCGTTTTGCCTGGCTCCGGCAGACAACTGTATTAGGTCTTTCAATCAAACTTACAAAGAACGGATCCCGTGTGCCTGGCCAGGCACTGCAGAGCCCATGAAGCTCTTGGCCTTGCGCACTTTCTCTATGGAAGTGCCCCCCTCCCCGTGCTCCATTGCTAGCCCTCTGGAAACACCACTCTACTCTGAACCGAGAGGAAGAGCAGAGGATTACCGGGAGACCAGGAGACCGGTGTTATCTCCAAGTGGAGCCAGATGTATGAACCCCATTATTCTTGAATTAATCATCACAGAGTAAGACTTCCTCTCTGAGCTTTACAGTTTAGGATGCTTATCCTTCCCGAGTCCCCTCCTAACATGCTGGATGTAATGGTGTACGCCCATATCCCATGTCCAGTTTTGGGTCCCTGTACTAAATTCAGCCTCACTAGCTACTCAGTGGAGATATGCAAAGGCACTCTGAGTGCTCTGCCCTTGCAGTGTTTTCAAGCACTGAGACGGAGCAAACCCAGTGGAGAGGAGAGCATGAAGGCTGGGGTGGCCAGACTGGGGGTGCCCAGACCCATCCAGATCTGCTCGGAGAATTGCTCTGCACTGCTGACTGCTCAGCACGGGGCAAATGGCCAGCAAGGGGTCATTGTCTCAGAGCCATCCCAGCTCGACGGCTGCTTGAGTCCAATCCCCAGCCCCAGTCAGGCAACCTCTGCACTTAATGGCATGTTTTAATGGCAGCAGGGAGCAGAAGCAGGGATGGGACGCGATTCTGGGGGCAGGTCAGCGGGGGCCGCTTTGGGCACACACCTTTGCAGCTGAGGGAGCCTCAGGCACCGGAGGAGGCAGGTGCTCAGCTTTCTTTAAAATGTTTATCCTCGGGCTTATTTTGCCAGCAGGAAGCCCTTCCAGCACGCACACGTCTTTGGCCTGTCACTGGCAGGCTGCAAGCCAACGTGTTGCCACAGAAACTGGTAAATGCAAAATTATTACTTGACAGCAGTGTCCCGAGGAAAGAGGACCAACCTTCTTCCATGTGTTTATGTCCTTGGCCCAGGGAGCGCGTGCCCCCCCTGCACTGCTGTGGGTGGGATGCCATCCGGTCACATGCTTCATGCTGGGGTGCCAGGAGGCAGGGGAGGACGAGCACAGCAGGGAAATGCTGCAGGGCGCTTCTCGCCATCGCCAGGACCCCTCCCCAGAGTTTTGCTGGGTGTGTGGTCTGGGGCTGATTGCTCTCTAGCTCTGTGGGAAACAGCTCCCCAGCATCCCTGCGAGACCCCAGTGCCAGCGGGCTCAGGGTCCCACAGGCTGCCAGCCCGCGGGGATGCGGTGTCCATGTGGGGTGGACCGAGGCTTCCCACGCCCGGCTGCAGCGGGCGGTGCAAACATTCCTCGAGGGCATCCCAGCTCCAGCACCCGT